AGCTTGTATCAAATATTGAATGATTACACTGTTATTCATGTATTGTGTGAAAGTTGGAAGTACTGTTATGTGATGATTATACTGTTATCCAGGAAAAAAGTGATGATGGTGCTGTGCTATTATACATATATTGTGCTCTTGCTAGGTTTTCTACTTATGCTTTTGGTATTGCAAATGCATAGTTATAAAATTCGGAAGGCAGTAATAATATAAATATATAAATATATAAATATATAAATATATAAATATATAAATATATAAATATATAAATATATAAATATATAAATATATAAATATATAAATATATTATTCCCACAATTATTCAAAAATAAAAAAGATCTATAAATCTGCCGATTGTCATATTTGTTTTACATGTTAATATGGTAGGCTTAAGTGCTATAAGAGCTACTAGATCTTGTTAATAATCAATTGTGGTAGTTTGTGATCATACTGTAACTTTGTTATTTTCTGTCAAAAGCAAAATTCATATACAATGTTATTTTGAAAGAAAAAATAGGGGAAATTATAGATACCCCCCCAAATTCAACTTTCTAGACATCCTACCCCCAAAACGTTTTGTATCCCACCCTAAACCCCAATACCGTTTTTCCTTATATTTATCCCCCAAGTCAAAAAGTCAATGGATTTAGACAAAAAAATGCCCTTATTTTCTCTCTTCTCCTCTATATTGGGGTCATGTGACTCTCTCTCTCTCCCCACACTCTCTCCCAAAGTAAAAACCCATTATCTCTTTCTCTTTGTCTCATTCTCTCTCCCTTTCTTTCTCCCTTTCATTCTCTCTCGTTCTCTCTCTCTCTCTCTCTCTCATTCTTTGGTAATGTGGTCCGGCTGTACCAGACCGAAATCTTTTTGTGGTCTAGCACAAAAACATGCCAGACTGCAAAAAAAATTGAGTTATAGTAACGTAACTTGTAATGCGGTCCGGTACCCAGTGTGCTGGACCGGTTAGAATTTGAGTTAAGGTTGGTAATGCGGTACGACACACTCTGTGCCGGACCAAAATTTTTTTGCGGTCCGGCACAAATTGCATGGCCAGTCTTAACTCAAATTCTAACCGGTTTAGTGCTCTGGGTGCCGCACTGCAAAAATCTTAGTCCATAGCTAGACAGAGAAAGTGAGAGGGCGCCAAGACGGGTAGAGAGAGAGAAGAGAAATACAAAGAATGAGAGACAGTGAATGAGAGAGCATGAGAGACAAAGAAAGAGAGAGAATGGGTTTTTACTTTGGGAGAGAGAGTGTGGGCAAAGAGAGTGAGTCATGTGACCCCAAAATAGAAGAGAAGAGAGAGTATAAGGGCATTTTTGTCCCAAATTCATTGACTTTTTGACTTGGGGGTTAAATATAAAGGAAAACAATATGGGGTTTAGGGTGGGATGCAAAACGTTTTGGAGGTTAGGATGTCTAGAAAGTTTAATTTCAGGGGCTATCTATAATTTTCCCGAAAAGATATTTATAGTCTTTGGGGATAGTGGGTGTAATTAATGATTATTGGTCATTCGGATCTGGGTATGCGGTTTCGGGAATGTTCTTGAATAGCTGGCTCTTCTTGTTCTCTACCGTTTTCAAAGATCAGGGAATGGTGAAGTTTAAGGTTAGGCTGTTGTGAGCAAGGTAGTTTGACTAACTCCTGGTGAGAGGTTTCCTTGGATTTAGATTGCTTCAGGTGGTTTGTATTTCATTAAGGTCCTAGAAATTGGTAGGAAAGTAAGCAAGAAAAAGACCGTTCTTCTCTCTCACCCTTTTTTTGTTGATTTATTTATTTATATGCTGGAATTGAAGGTATCAAAAGATGTGGATCATAGCTGGTTCTTCGAGCTTGAGAATCGGATCTATTTTTTATCAAAAGATGCATGGGAGCAAGTTTTTTGGCTTCATGGATAAGGCTTCTCTCTCTTTTTTTGCTTATTTTTATTGTCAATAGGTGATCATTGGAGTTGTTTTGGATGGATCTGTTATGTTTTATAAAGATAATTTATTTTTGCTTCATTGGAGTTGTTTTGGATTGTCTACAGGGTTTATGTAGAAGCAAGGGTCTAAATGAACTGAAATTCAATAGTGGGGGTAACTCTGTGTCCTCCTCCCTTAATTTTTCTACAAATTTAGATCTTTTGCCTCAAATAATGGGATTTTTTAGTGGTTGGTGAGGGCGGTGTTGAGCTCATTACTAAATGTGGTTCAATCCAATGTTGGGAGACTCAGCCAAGTTGGCCGAGGCACCTTGTTGAGCCGGAAACCCCTATGGTACTTAGGCAAGTTACTGTGGCAACTCGCCCGAGTATGTTATACTTGGTGAGTTCCTGACAGACTCGTGAAGTCGTTGAAATAGTCATGCAACTGTAGCAACTCGCCCATGTATGTCGAAGACTTGGCAAGTTCCTGACCAACTCGCAGAGTTTGTCTGGACTTTCTGAGTTTGCCAAATTTTTGGAAATTAGAGGGGGGTGTTTTTTTTTGGTGCCGGGGGGGGGGGGTTAAGTTTTGAACCCCCTTTTCCCTCTTTTCTTTTCAACAACACATTTGATTCAGCTTGAATTTCGGCCGTATGGTCATTTTTGAATGATCTAACCATTGAGATCAAATTTGATAAAAAATGGATTTTATGGATTTAATAGATGAAATTTTCGACCAACATTTTTGGGTGAATTTGGAATGTTGCGACTTCTTTGTAATTGTTACTCACTCTTGGATGAAATTTGTTACCTAAGCCTATTATTGGAGTTCTTTGTTGAATCATAGTCTTATTTCTAGTAAAACACCACTTAAGAGTCTTGGATTTCTGAGATTTGTATTTCGGAAATATTATTGACCCAAAGTTTCTATAGCTTGGATCAAGTAGATCCAAACATGAATCCCAAATTTTATTTTGGGGGTTTAGATTTGAGGTGTTGGAATACCTTTTGACAATGATTGGATAGGATCGATTCACACTTAACACAAAATATTGGAACGTCGGCTTTGAAATTATTGATAGTTTGTAATTTTTGGATTTGATTTATGTGATTGATTTTATTTTTTAGTGATGTCACTCTATGGGAAAGTATCCCGTCCTTATGATATAGACGGGTGGAAGGGTGCCAAGCACCTTTCCAATGGTTAGATTTCGTAAGGCCATATCTAATGGAAAAAAAATTAATTTCAGTATTTTATTTTTTGTTTCTATATAAATAATTTTTGTTTTTCTGAATTTTGGGCTGAGATTCATATTTTACAATTATAATTAAATAAAAATAATTAACAATATTTAAATAAAAAATGACTAAAATACTCTTTAAGTTTATTTTGATCGATATTTTTTATTTTTAAAAGTTTTTTAAATTCTACTTATAAAATTAAAACCAAAACCAAAATTTAATATTAGTATCATTTTTTAAATAAAAAATTGTTTTGACCTTCAGATGGGGCTAGTTCAATCTGAACCATTAAAAGGCTGTGGATGCAATATCATCCGTTTTCATAAATCTCTTATGATTTTTCCTGTTATTTCCTTATTTTGATAGAATTTTCTTATTTTTTCAGGGTTTTACTGTCCATATCAACGAAATGGGGGAACTATTCAATTTTTTACTTATGATTCTTTCTTTTTCTTTTCTTTTTTTTCCCCTAACTTTCACTTTTTTCGGGATTTTCCAGCCATCTTGGCCAATGAGGGGAAATACAGTGAGTGCTGAGTGGACTCCCTGAGCTGACTTGCTCTGGACTCTCAGTTTCAGAGCAAGTCCTATTTTGCTAGTATTGGTTCAATCTTTAAGGAGAAAGCATTGATTTCTGTGCTACTCATGTTTGGAGGTGGCTAAGTTGGTCTTTTCTTCCATCATACGCAAGAATTGCACAATGTTTGAATATTATAGAAGCATCATTAGCAATATTCTGGTTTGTTATATTTTGAATTTTGGTTGACTTCTGCGTGATATGATATTGAGGATATGCAATATGTCCTTGATGGTGCTTGCCCCAACCCCCCCCCCCCCACTCCACCAAAAAAAAAAAACGGGAAAGAATGTTTTGATGGTTATTGCATCCTGTGTACCCTTGGTCTTGGTGTTGCTATTGGGAGGGGGTGGGAACTTCATCCACAATTTGAGGAATGAGGTTTGAGTTCAATTGTGTTGTAAACTGAGCAATGGAAAATGTTTCCTCTTTTGTGAGCTTCTTATACCTTTTAATGACTGATTTTGATACTCTTGGCATTCATTTTATTTCTCATGAGGACATGCATATTAGGAATTAATGTACACCTTTATTTGCTATGGACTGTCATTGTAATGCATCAAACAATCCAGGAACATATGCTGCTGCTCAGTTTTGGAATTGTAAATTAGTGGGTCTTAAGGTTGCAATTAGAATCGTAGGCTTCATGCGTACAACAATGGTATGAATTATAGTTTCTGAAGCACATTTGAGTAGAAAGTTTGCAAAGTCACTAGACATTTTAGCACCAAGGGGATATTGAAAGAGACTTTGAAAAGCCATTATCTAAATATCTAGGGACAAGTTTCCTGAGTTAGGTTTCAAGAAACTTGTTAGTAGAAAATTTTGAATTATGTCAAATTATCTTTTTGTTACTCAAAAGGCATGGATGTGTTGGGTTCGCCTATTGTAGCTTTAGGAGTGTCACCTTAGTGTGTGATAATTGAGCATGCCAGATTGTCGCCTAAGTGAGCAAAAATGAAAGGCTGCAGTTGAGATGCTCTTTTTGCCTCCTAACGTGCTTTACATTTCTTTGAAATATTAGTCTTGAAAGAAGAAAAGGAGCATGCCATAGGTTTTGAATAGTTACTCATGTGCTCTGTGACATTGGCTTTTGCTTAACAATAATCAGAAATTTAAGTTGTTAACTTTCATAAAAAAATTGGTGGCGGTGTTGATGTTCTTCCTTCAGGGAATCTAATATGTTTTATGAGGAACTGCAATATTATGTTTTTGAGTACATGTAGTTTTTGTTGTACTTCATTTAAGGTACATCATGTCATCTGTAACAGGAAACGGCTCTTTAATATGACGAATGAGCTTCCCACGATATTTGAGGTTGTTACTGGCAATGTAAAGAAGCAATCAAAGGAGAAGTCATCGGGTGGAAACCACAGCAGTAATAAATCTAAACCGAACTCCAAATTGGTAAATAATGCCCATAATCTCCTCTTTTCATTTCATTTTTGGCTTTTTAAATTTTTTGCTGTTTAGGGAAAACTATAAAAATGCTCATGGTTTTGAAGATCTTTTCTAGAAAGCCTAGAAAGTATCCATCTACGAAATTTGATTGACATGCTTCCGCATTTCTAACTTATGCAACAATTGAATGGTGAAGCTACCCTTGCAGATGAACTACTATTTTTATGTATGCCTGTCTCTCTCTCAATGTATGTATGTATGTAATCTAGTATTAACACCCCATGAAATCCTACAGGCTATATAGAGAAAGGGGTGTGAACTAACAAAATTACTTCAGTTGCCCCTTTTTATATTTTGTTACTATAAAATGAGTAAGGGTATTTTTGTCATTAGAAAAGGTAATAGTGATATTTGCACTAAAGGACAAAGGGTATGTCATCTCGAGAATGGTATGTTTGAAATATTTATTAATAAAGACAAAAAAGCCATTACTCATTTTATGAACATTGAATAATTAAAAAGGTAACTGTGGTAATTTTAACAATTCACACCCCTTTATAAATGTAATCTATAGGATTTTGTAGGATGTTAGCAAT